ATTGCATTTAGTTGTCATGTTTGTTTTGTCTCCTTTAATTGAAACAATTCTTCTTTATCTGTCTCTCATGATCTTGATATTTTTGAAGAGTACAGAACAATTACTTTGTAGAATGTTCTTTAATTTTGGTTTCTCTGGTGTTTCTTCATGATTAGATTCAGATATTGCATTGTTGGCAGAAATAACACAAAAGTGATACTGTGTTCTTCACAGTCCATCATATCAGGAGGCATTTGATGTTCATTTGCTTCATTATTAGTGATATTAACTTTGATAACTTGGATAAGGAGCTATCTTACCAGTATGAGCCAACATAAATGTACCATTATTAATTTGTAGTGAGTAAATAATTTGTGGGGAAATAGTTTGAGACAGTGCAAATAATCTGCTCCTCGCCAAACCTGTACCCAGTATATTTTAGCATCTGTCAATGATTGTTGACTGAATCAATTATTACTATGATATTTGAATCAATTATTACTATGATATTTGCAAAATGATGATTTTCTAACTCCATTATCCTTTCTACATTTATTACTGAGCATACTTATGTAAGGGATAACTTTCCTTCACCCCCCTTTATTAATTTGGTAGATTTAATTCTTATTTAATTCAAAAGGTTATAATGCATTGATCTCATTTTGAAATTTGATGCTCAAACGTTTCAAATTTGGCCGTTGGGAACTCACTCAAGCAGGCCCCATGAACTTAAAAAAATTTTTTTAATTAATTTATTTTTGGCTGCGTTGGGTCTTCGTTGCTGCGTGCGGGCTTTCTCTAGCTGTGGTGAGCGGGGGCTACTCTTCGTTGCGGTGCGTGGGCTTATCATTGCTGTAGCTTCTCTTGCTGTGGAGCACGGGCTCTAGGCACGCGGGCTTCAGTAGTCGTGGCTCGCGGGCTTAGTTGCTCCGCAGCATGTGGGGTATTCCCGAACCAGGGCTCAAACCCATGTGCCCTGCATTGGCAGGTGGATTCTTAACTACTGCACCACCAGGGAAGTCCCTCCCATGAACTTTTAACATGCCCGTAATTCTTTGAACATTTCTTTACTTTCTGGCACAGTAAGATATTCCAGGATCATCTTTTACTTTATCTGTCCCATCATTAGAATCAGTTGTTTTCTTTAAGGAGCCCTGGTTCCTTTTTGTGGAGATGGGTATTTACAAACTAAGATCTGGGCGCTAAGTGTGCTGATTTTTCTACTGGAGTGCCATTATGTCTAGGCTCAGCTGGGCTAGGAAATCTCTATCTCTGCCTCTAATCGAGGAGTTCATATTGATGCTCCCAGATCTAATCTAACACCAGAAGGTTCATTTTAGTCTTTTTCCTTTCCGTATTTGTAAGTCCTTTTTCCAAGTGACGAACTTGGTTCACATTATCCTCAGTATATTTACTCACTTGCCCAGGCTTAGATTCACAGAAAGTGTTTCAGAATTGCTAACCCTACCACTATAAAAAATCATACCGACTAACCAGTGTTCAATACTTGTTAAAAGATTTTTGTTTTCAAACTGAGGGTATATAATGAAAACTCTGTATTCAAAAGTAATTGTTGGGGCTTCCCTGGTGGCGCAGTGGTTGAGAATCTGCCTGCCAATGCAGATGACACGGGTTCGAGCCCTGGTCTGGGAAGATCCCACATGCCATGGAGCAACTGGGCCCGTGAGCCACAATTACTGAGCCTGCGCGTCTGGAGCCTGTGCTCCGCAACAACAGAGGCCGCGATAGTGAGAGGCCTGCGCACCGCGATGAAGAGTGACCCCCACTTGCCACAACTAGAGAAAGCCCATGCACAGAAATGAAGACCCAACACAGCCATAAATAAATAAATAAATAAATACATTGTGTATTATTAAAAAAAAAAAAAAAAAGTAATTGTTTTTCCCTTCAGTGTTATTCATTTGAATTATAGGCTTATTTGTTTTTGTTTATATTCCATTTTTGGTTTCTTTCCCCTCCATCACTGTTAATTTACCTTCATCATCTTCATCATCATCGTTATTTTATGTATGTAAAGCATTAACATGCTTCCAAAACTCAAAATTACACAAAAATCTATATTGAGAGGAGTGTCACTTCCCCTTTCTCACCCCATGCACCTTAATGCACCCCTATTAGTTTCTGGCTCATTCTTCCTGAGTTTCTTTTTTTTTAAATACAAATAAATACATTTATATTGTCTTATTTCCTCTTCTTTCTTACACAAACGTGTCATACTATATATACCCTTTTGCACTTTGCTTTTATTGATTGACAGCAAATATATCCTGGAAATCACTCCATATCACATCTTCTATAGTTTTTATTTACAGTTGCATAATATACCATTGTGTGAATATGCCATAGCTCATTCAGCCAATCTCCTATGTGTGTTTTTTCCCAGTATTTTTCAATTCACAAGTAGTGATGTACTTTGTTTGTATGTATTTTTGTTTTGTTTTGTTTGTTTTTACATTCTTGAAGGTGTATCTTCAAGGTAAATGCTTAGATGCAATTCGAAAGGTAAACTCCCTTGTGGTTTTGTTAGATATTGTCAAATTCTCCTCCCATAAAGGTGGGGGGACATTCCCACCATCAATGTATAAAACTCTCTTTCCTCATGGCTATGTCAAGAGAATGTGCTATCAAGCTTTGCAATTTTTACCAAATATAATCATTGAGAAATGGTATCTCAGCATAGTTATAATTTGCAGTTATAATTTCCATTATAACTGAAGTTGTCCATCTTTTCATATGTTTAAAGGTCATTTAAAAATCTTTATTTGCGAATGGTCTGTCTGTGACTTTTGCTTATTTTTCTATTGGGTTTTTGATCTTTTTCCCCCTTCAGTTTTAGAGTTCTTTATGTGTTGGGCCTTTTATCTGTGATGTATGTTATTCATAGTTATTTTTAAATCTGTGTGAGTCTGTGGGACTATTTTTATTTTATTTTATTTAAAAAAATTCCTCCGTTCCTCTTTCCTGGTTGGCCTGGTATTTTGAAACTGACAGTCTGGGGTCTTTGCCCTCCTCCTTGGCAGCTCTGAAAGCTCATTTTTGGGTTCTCAGTGCAATGAGACTCCTGTTTCCTCCTGAGATTTTAGTCGTGTACCGTTGCTTCTGCTGGTTTCTTTGTTTTCTCTGAGCATGTGCAGCTTGTGAGTCTGCAAAGTCCTTGAGGGGAATTTGCCCTATTAGGCTCACTTCTCTGCAGTTCATTTTCTCCAGGATGTTGGCCTTTCAGTTCTTGTCAACTCTTCCAACACAGCAAGACCACTGCAAGCTCTAGGTTGCTGTTACCTCTTCAGCCTTTATTCCCCATGTGGTGAATTGGCAAGTGCCCTGATGAGAAACAGCAGAGGCCAGTGTGTTACCCTGTCCCTGGGGGTACAGACTGTAGAGTCCTGCTGCTGTGATTTTTTTCCTCAGATGTTCAAACAGCTCTTCTATGTTTCATCTAGCTCCTGTAGTTGTTCTCAGACAGAGAGGTTATTCTGATACTGGTTATTCCATCATAGCTGATATTCCATTCCACTTAGCACATTTGGAATCAAAATTCTCAATATGCAGCAAAAGAATATTTGAGAAATTTTGGTGCTTCAGTATAATGGAATATAACAGAATCCAGCACTGCAAGTGATATAAGAGAATATTTGAGCATATTTAGACACTCTCTCTATTTAACATTAAAGAGTATTGTTAAGCACAGGAGATTACAAAACAACATGAGCAGTACGGTCCTATTTAAGAATGTGTATATAGATATATAAATATAAGACTGGAATAATGCACACAGAAGTGTTAATAGCTGGTATTGTTGGGTTGTTGGGTTTTTTTTCCCCTTTGTGCATAATCTAAACATTTTCCATAGGACATTACTTTTGTTCTAAAAGAAAACTAACGCACTTAAAAGAAAAAATCCTTATAGTTGATAGGCCCAATTGATAATATTTTCTGGTAAACATTTTACTTTATACTGGTTGCCCAAACTCTATCTTTATGCCCTTGGTGATGTTACAGATTTTGTCAGAAACAGTACCCTCCTTGAAATACTTTGTGGAATAGAGCACCCCCCATACAAATATACTTTAAATTCCTAGTAGTCAAATTCAAACAAAGGCTTCACTTGCTTCTGTCAGTGTGTGCCAAAGCCTTTTAAAATAAGGAGTCCTTTTAAAAAGTAAGGGACTTCCCTGGTGGCACAGTGGTTAAGAATCCGCCTGCCAGTGCAGGGGACACGGGTTTGATCCCTGATCCGGGAAGGTCCCACATGCTGCGGAGCAACCAAGCCTGTGCGTCACAACTACTGAGTCTGCTCTCTGGAGCCCACGAGCCACAGCTACTGAGCCCATGTGCGACAACTACTGAAGCTCACATGCCTAGAGCCTGTGCTCCGCAACAAGAGAAGCCACCGCAATGAGAAGCCTGCACACCACAAGGAAGAGTAGGCCCCACTCGCCGCAGCTAGAGAAAGCCCGTGCGTAGCAACGAAGACCCAACGCAGCCAAAAATAAATAAATAAATAGGTTTGTGCAAGGACCTGGATTATCAGGGAAGATTTATTTCCTAGCAGAAAAAAAAAATCTAATTTCCTTTTTTTAAAAAATTTAATTAATTTATATTTGGCTGTGTTGGGTCTTGGTTGCTATGCTTGGGCTTTCTCTAGTTGTGGTGAGCGGGGGCTGCTCTTTATTGTGGTGCTCAGGCTTCTCATTGCGGTGGCTTCTCTTGTTGTGGAGCATGGGCTCTAGGCGCGGGCGCTTCAGTAGTTGTGGCTCGTGGACTCAGTAGTTGTGGCTCACGGGCTTAGTTGCTCTGTGGAATGTGGGATCTTCCCAGACCAGGGCTCAAACCCGTGTCCCATGCATTGGCGGGCAGATTCCTAACCACTGCGCCACCAGGGAAGTCCCCTCTAATTTCCTTTTGAAACCAATGGCCAAAATGTAATGCAATTGCTTTTGTAAAACTAAAATCAAGATTTCTTGAGACATTCTTATCCCCTATTGCTTTTTTTCTTGAAGGTACTCTCCAAGGCAGCAATTACCAGCCACGACCTTTTGGGTTTTGAGGCTGCTTCCTAGGAATGTCCGTTCCTTGGCTACATCATCAGAGAATCAGAGAGTTGAGGCTTGCCACCAGCACCACGAGGTCTACGGGTACTTCTTGCTCATCCAGATGAGGTGGCAGGACAATGACCAGTACGGCCATGGGAACAATGCTGTGTACTACAGCTACTTAGACACGATTATCAACCAGTACCTGATGAGGTAGGTGTGGGTTTTGCAGCCCCCATCCTCATGTCACCCCTCTGGCATGCTCTCTGGTGGGAGTTCATGCAGGGGATTCCTCTAGTGTTTCTGCTAGTATACCTCCTTTGTTGAGCCAGCCGAGAGTCAGATTATTCTGGAGAACAGCAGGACCGATAGGTTAGTGAGGATAGTGTCCTGCTGCTTCTGCAGTTGCAGGTGTTTGTCTGTCTTGGTTCTTTGCACTAAATTGTCAGCAAATGTGCAAGCTTTGAGTCTCAATTAAACAACTACACAACAAGCTACATAATATTCAAACCCTGGAGTTTGAGCAGACAGTAACTTCAGCCCTCAAGGCCTTTTTGTGAGAAAAGCAGCTGCTTCCCCCACCAAGGGCTCATAAGGGGGAGGAGAGAGAGTAAAGATGTTTATTATAGCCTCTGAATGCCGTGATGACACAATTGCCATCGGAGGTGTGTTTGCAAGATTGGTTACTGTATGTTTGGTTAATATAATTGTCTGTATGAAAGATCGAGTTGCACAGAGAGATCTGTGTAAATCCCAGCTCCACCTTGCATTAACTGTGCAATTTGGATCAAATTATTTAACCTATTGCATCTTTTGTAAAAATAACCTGCATTTATTGAGAGCTCTCTCTTTGTTTGGCACTCTAGAGCCTTTACACAGCCTTTCTTGTTTAATCCTAAAACAGCTTGATGAGAGAGTAGCAGATTGTTGGTCCACTGCCCAAACCTCCTTGCCTGTAACTTTCAGGGCACACTGGTCTGACCATCCACTGTCAGCACCAGCATTTCTTTGCCTAAGGACTTTCTCTGGCCCTCAGAGCCCCTTTGGCCGGCAGGCCAGAAGTGCAAGGAATCAATGTTCCCCAAAAGCAACCTTCAGTCACTGACTGATGGGAGTTAGTGTATGAATACCCCAGCTTCCTTACCTCTTGGATGAGATAACTCTGAGCGGCACACTGTAATACAGGCTCCCAGCCTTCCCTAGTGGGATTAGGCTCCAGGTCCCAGAGTGGTAGCTTTCAAAAATGGAGATAAAATTTACATAACACAAAACCTACTATTTTAACCATTTTAAGTGTACAATTCGGTGGTTTTTAGTATATTCACAATGTTGTGTAGCCGTCATCACTACCTAATTCCAGAACATTTCCATCACCCCCCAAAAGAAGCCCCACCTGTTAATAGTCACTCAGTTCCTCTCTCCTCCCATCCTCTGGCAGCCTTTCTGTCGCTATAGATGTGTCAATTCTGGACATTTCCTATAAATGGAATCATAGTATATATAATCTTTTGTGTCTGGCTTCTTTCGCTCAGCATGATGTTTTCAGGGTTGGTCCACGTCGCAGCTTGTTTTTTTCTTATGGCCAAATGCTATTCTGTTGTATGGATAAGCCATATTTTGTTTATTCATTTGTCATTTGATGGACATTTGGGTTGTTCCCACTTTTTGGCTATTATGAATAATGCTGCTATGAATATTTGTATACAAGTTTTTATGTGGACATGTTTTCAGTTCTTTTGGGTATGTACCTAGAATGGAATTGCTTGAGTCATATGGTAACTTTATATTTAACTTTTTGAGTAACCATCAACAGTAACCATCCCTGTTTTCCACAGTGACTGCGTCATTTATATTCCCACCAGCCGTGTATGAGGATTTCAGTTTCTCCACAACTTGTAATTATTTATCTGTTTGCTTATAGTCATCCTGGTGTATATGGAGTGGTATCTCATTTTGATTTTCATTTGCATTTCCCTGATGACTAATGATGTTGAGCATCTTTTCACATGCTTATTGGTCTTTGGTACATCTTCTTTGGAAACATACCTATTCAGATCCTTTCTCCATTTTTCAACTGGGTTATTTGTATTTTTATTGTTAGGTTGTAAGTGTTCTTTATATATTCTGGATACTAGACCCTTATCATATAATATGATTTACAAATACTTTCCCCTGGAGATCAAGATGGTGGAGTAGAGGGATGTGGAGCTCACTCCCTCCCACAAATAAATCAAAAATACATCTACATGTGGAACAGTTCTCACAGAATACCTACTGTAAGCTGGCAGAAGATTTCATACAAGCAAAGGTGCAAGAAAAGATCCTCACGTCACTGGGTAGGATGAAGGGAAAAGGGAGAAGACAAATACTTTCTCCCATTCTGTAGGTTTTTTCACTTTCTTGCTAGTGCCCTTTGACACACACAAGCTTTTAATTTGGTAACTTTTTGAATAGCAAATGCTTTATTGGCTACTTTCCCTTCCTGTCCCTTCCTCATTTCTGCAGGAGCACTTCACCTAAAAGAAGTACCTTATAGTTCTCACATTGCATATTTACTATGTGAGGGAAATTAAATTTTTTTTTTCTTCGAAAGGGTATGCTTTCACTTGAAGAGTGCCTCGTTCTCTTGGATGCTGTGTGGTCCTGAATTGTCACACTAATTTTACTTTTTGTGCACCTGTCAGTGATTCCTCTAGAAGTAGCTTGTACTTGCTTACTTATGAATAATAAACCGTCTTTTTCAGCACTCATGATAGCTTTTAGGAGAATGTGTGCGTTATACTTTGAAATCCACAGCAGGAGGTAAAAACAGTATTTGAGGCTATTTGTAATTTCACATCATTTGTCATAGGGAAACTTGACAATGAATTTTCCCAGTTCACTCCAGGGCTACTTACTCTTTTCTAAGGAAGGATCAGCCTTGTAATTTCTTTGGATTGACTCTCAGTTTTATTGCAGTTGAGACCTAGTGGTGTGTCTTAGTCAGTTTGGGCTGCTATAATAGAAATTTAAACTGTAAACTGTAAACCACTGTAAACTGGTGGTTTAAACAATAGAAATTTACTTCTCACCATTCTGGAAGCTGGGAAGCCCAGATCAGGGTATCAGCATGGTTGACTTCTGGGGAGGGCCCTCTTCTTGGTTTGCAGACAGCCACCTTCTTGCTGTATCCTCACATAGCCGAGGGAAGAGAGATCGAGCCACCCTCATGACCTCTTCTAAATCTGATTACCTCCCAAAGACTCTACCTCCTAATACCATTCCATCAAAGGGTAGGGTTTCAATATATGATCTGGGGGGAACACAGACATGCGTGCAGTCCACAACATGGCTTTTGTGACTTATGAAGTCTTCCATTTGTAAATAGGGCTTCTAGAAAGACAATGTGCCGATAATGATTGAGTCCTTTATCCAGTGGAGGTTGTGTCTGTGTGGTCTCAGTTTGTTGTAAACCGTTTCATCCAAGGTCTGCTTCTGCCAATTTTGGGGGGTAGGGATGGGGGTTGGCAGCATGTAAGGAAGAATTTCTGCCAGAATAGTGTCCTGTTTCATGTAGAAGCCTCCAGGTATTACACATTGACTCCAAAACTGTGAAAATACCCTAACTACTGTGGTCAGGGACTTCCTGATCATGACAAAAAATGAGTTTACCTTTATACGTTTTCTAAGAGATCTGAGGATTGTTTAATAGGTTGCTCACTGACTGTCAAAAGGCAAGCCAGCACCACATAGAGGTGTGAGGACACTGGGAAAACCAGCCAGGGAGAGGCAGCCTCATTTCACCAGTGTGAGCCAATGTGAGGAAGGCAGCTGGTCAGGTGGAAGCAATGCATCCCAGCCTGGCTTGCACACTCACCTCCTTCCACTTGGCTTTCTAAGGATAGGTGGCACTGTACAGGTGCCAAACACCATGGGATAATCAATGAGCAACATCCTTGTCTAGAAGATTCCCTCTTGGGGGGGCGGGTTTCCTCTGGTCGAGGGAACCAGGGAGTAATGGAGGGCATGGCAAGGGAGGGAGAGAAAGACAGCAGAAGAGGCCACGGACTGCCTAAAGTTCTCATCACTTTGACACGCGGAAGGGGTTAAGTCATTCTTGAACAGTTTATCGCTCATCAATTGTAATTAAATATGTTTATATTAAATTATGTTCTGTAATTAATGTAAAATCCTTTAGCCTATGCTGTTATTAGAACCAGATGCCGAAGTACCGACAATATTTCAACATGACTGTGCTGCCTCGCCAGCTGTCTAACTGTAATTACTTTAATCTCAGCTTGTTATCTAATTATCACCTTTGTAAAGGGAAAAGTACTCTCTAATGCTTACTGATTGTTTCAGATGATGATGAAGAGCGGGGAACAGCTGTCAGAGATCGTGGGCCCTGCTTATCACAAAGAAGGAACTTATCCTGAGATCTGTTCTGGGCCAAACTGCTGAAAAAAAGATGTCCCAGGCAGGAACTGGGGACTAGTCAGTAAGGGGAGACAGTTGGTGTGGTAGTTAAGGGTCTGGCCCCTGTGGATAAACTGTCAGGTGACATCTGCCTCCTCCAGTGATGGCTGGGGGACAAGTTACTTAGTCTGTTTAAGACTTAGTTGCCTCATCTGTAACATGGAGACAGTAATAATACTAAAATCTACCTCGAGCATTCCCGGGGAGATTAAATGAGATAAAACATATGAAGCCATAGCAGTGCCTGACAAAATGTCCATACTTAGTAAATGTTAACTAATTTTTCTTTTTGAAAAAAGATCAATGTTGGTTTTCAACATTTCCATCTAAGCCAAATCTGAAACAACTGAAATGGGTATCTAAATGCCAGCGGCTTGGCATTACCAGTTTGTTTTCCAGATTATCTTTAAATCTGTCCTTTTGGGACTGAAATTCACCTTTGCATTGCTTATTTAGAAATGGTTCACCCAACCAGTATAGATAAGTATTGTCAGGAAAATCGCTTGAGGGGGAATAAACCATTTTGGAGTATTCTTCAGTACTTTATGCATGTACTTTCATGTCAGCAGTTGATGTGGTAACTGTAGTTCATTCCAAAATAATCATTAAAGCAGATTCTCTTAGGATGTTTATTGAGCTGCTAATATCCTCCAGGCTTTACCTCTCAGGGCTGCACTCCCATCAGAGGGGAGCTGGCAGCCTCTCCCTGCTGTGGCATAGCACGTCCATCTCCCCAGTTAGACTGTGAGCCCCTTGAG